AATAAAAATTAATTTATCTTTTACTGACTTTAAAAAAAAACTGCAAAATCGGCATGTAAACTGCGAACTCAATTAGGCCTTTTACCATCGCTAACTTTAACAACAAAACCAAGATACCAGAAAACGCCAAATAAAATTTTAACACAAATCGCCAATTAATTAATTATGGATTCAATATTAAATGGAAAACTCCTGCTTTGTTTTTATTTCAAAAACATTATAATGAGATGATACATTCTAAACGTTTCTGTAAACATTTGACGCTTACTTTAGTGTTTAAAATCAATATTTTGTTTAAAGTGGAATGACCTCAACGGCTACTCTGGAACTAACCTGAGAATTAAACTAAAAAAGTTCGTAGAGACAATATATTTTTTCACTAAAGCAATTACTATGACAAGTTCCAGTGAGCGGGATTTATTAATTTTGTTTGGAGAAGGTTTTAACTAGGTACATTCTGTTTCTCAAAGGAAAAGGGGTTAAAATCATAGACTAGCATGCATAGTATGAATAAAGTACAGGGAAAACCTATAACAGTAATATTTTGAGGTAGTTTCCTTTTCTTTACCTATATGCTTGTCAATGCTGGAGAAACGTAATTTCGTGATTGCTTTCGACAAATGGGTAATCAAACCCTAACCATGCACTGCAGTGGCAAAAATGTTAGACGTGAGCCGTTGATTAGCTTTTTCAAATATAGATGAATATAAACTCGTTAAATGTTTTAAAATAAAATCATAATATATCCATTGAATATAACATGTAATACTATCTAACAACTAAATGGCTAAAGAGGATGAAGAAGCAAATAAATAGGTATTGTAATGTGGTCTCAACCATGGTCTCAACTATGAACCCGCTGAACGTTTTAAATAGGCCTATTTCGATAGAATGTAAAGTCAATCGCACTTTTAGCAGGAATTCCACCACATAAACTTAGAATAAGAGTAGTTTCTATTTTTGTTTATATTATTTTGACCAGAATCAAATCTAGGGTAAAGTTTAGTCAAAGGGATGCATTTACACTAATTTAGTTTACCTTAACGAAAGGAGAATAAAAGTAGAAATAATAACTGGGCCAGGTCACTAATTCAGTGGGTTTTACCAAGAACTTAAATTATCTCCACATCTTTATATGCCTTTTCATATTTCACGAAGACAATTTCCGAAATTACAATCGGGGAAGCATTTATATCAAAGAATTTTGTTAACTATGGACTACCGGTAAGCATTAAAATGCACAAACATACGCCTGTAAATTAAGTTACCATTCTTCGTAATGTAATGACATATTTGATGTAATACAGTATAATGATAATTAAATGCTAGAAACTCAGTTTCTATATCCCGTAAACTGATGCTGAGCCGGCCAAACTCCTAGCGCCAATGCCGCGCCAAGCGATTTTATGCCTATTTTTAATCGCTTAAAAATGATACAAGCAGGCTCCGTATCAAAAAAAGCTTCAAATAAAAAATAAAATTCATACTTTGATCTAAAACTTTGCCGCAGTAATTTTTTTCCTGACCGAAAAATAAAAAAGTTCCTCGCTTACTACATTTTTCATGTTTTTTATGGTGTTAAAAACAATCATCTGTTTTAATTTGCCTAAATAAATTATAAAAATTATGTTAAGGTAAAAACTAGCTACATAGTAATGAGCACTTGTTTTTCCAGAAAAATAATATATCAATTTGAAATTTGTATGTTTACAAATAAGTGTAGCAGAGCAGGTTGAGTGAATGTATGTTTGTGTAAAACAGAGAGGTTCATTCGGCCCGTCCGCCTCGGTATCCCGCCAATTCGATTGACTTATGGCAGAGACTGTACCGTTGGAGCTTATGAAACTTGGAGGTTATGAACCGCTCTGTTTATTTGATATTTAAAAGTTGGAGTTTGTGAAATTTGGACATTGTGAAACTGTGCTTATTTGAAAGTTATAGTTTTGGAGTTTATGAAGTTTGGAGGTTATGAAACACACTGTTTATTTAATATTTTAGACGTTGGAGTTTGTGAAATTTGGACATTATGAACCTCACCCGTCTGTACCGGTACAAAAACATCCTGCCAGAGACAGCTAAGCTGCAGCTGGTACAGTCACTAGTGTTGTCAGTGCTCCATTACTGTTTTCCTGCATACGGCAACAGCATCTCAAGGGAAGATATGTCCCGATTGCAAAAAGTGCAGAACTCCGCAATTCGTTTCGTTTACGGTATCCGTATCCCCATTCCGGGATGCTGCGGGGTTGCTGTCAATGGGTGCCGTGTGCAGGGCGCAGACTTGTAGCCTCATCCACCGGGTCTTGGTTCAGCAAGAACCTAAGTACTTGGTGGAGAGGCTTGTGGCACGTGGGGAGGTGACTCAACGTGTAATATTTCATTTCATTTCATTCATTATTTAGTATTAATTTTTTTTTATGTTAACTTCTATTCATACACCTAATAATCACTCCTCAGAAAGACTGTCCTAATATTCATTTTCCTAATTTATATAATTTCATTAATATGTTCAATTAATCATTAATAATACAGTCTAACCTTGATATAACGAACCTCGATACAACGAATTCCTTGATATAACGAATTTTTTTAAATCCCCTAGAACTCTCCATAAGACACAATGTATATTTTACCTCTACATAACGAACAAACCATAACAACGACCTTGATTTAACGAATTTTTCGTGATTTCGGCTAAAATAAGACCCCTCAATATAGCGAATTTATCATTGTCAGAACCTCTACATTGCGAATTTAACCTCTGCATAACGAATTGTCTACGTCTTTCCCTCGATATAACAAATCCCCCACCCCATTGTTGTTTTTGAAAAATCTGTTTCTTTATCAAATGAAATGGAAAGGTGACGTCATCGCTTGCGCTAACATTCGTCTGCTCCGTTTTACGTGGTTTTACACATCTTTGTCTGCTGTCGCTGCGCGCGCTATGTTGCAGCTGAGAACTGATTTCATTCACTGAGGACTGATGACGACGTAATGTTTAGTAAGCTGTGATTAGGCGATAAGTAACTATGGTGAATTGTACATTTTTTGGATGAAGAGAAACCTAAGAAAGAATATAAAAACAAAACCAAAGAGAAAGAATAGCAACATCATTATTTTAACATTCCTTTTTCGAGTGTTTTTATTATCTTTAAGTTGGATATGATTATACACTTTTATAATGTCTTATCTAATAATTTACTGTATTGTTTTCAATACGATTTGTTTCAACTAGCAACACCAATGCTATAGTTAATGATTATTATTGACATTCCTCTGTTGTGATAAATCAGTACTGTACTGTAAGTAGCCTACCGGCCTATCACGAGCAGTAGCTTACAAAACTTTCTACTACTGTTTTGTTTTGTTCTTTACATGGTTTATGACTACGCAATACAGTGTTTGGCTAGGTTTTAGTAGGGTTAGAACAAGCTGTGATTTTAAACTTACAGTTTTTTAACCTGTACCAAGGTCAATGCCATTGTCATGATTGCGCAATATTCAAGATCCCTCCCCTTTATTATGCCGGATAATTTAGGTTCTACTGTACAATGTAAACAAGTAAACACTGTACTGTAAAGTATTGTAGCCTATGCTACTTTAATTTTAATTGTGTTTTAATGATGTCTAATCCCGACCTATATTGACCGACGCTGGTTCTGAACCTCGACTTAGCGAAATTCCTGCAAACATAACCTCTATATAACGAACCTCGTTTTAACGAAACCCTTGATATAACGAATATTCAGTTCGGTCCCTTCAGATTCGTTATACTGAGGTTGGACTGTATTCATTTCATAGCCTATATTTTTTTTTTTTACAACGCCCACAACCTAATTATTTATTAAATATGTAAGAGAATTGCAATACATCAAAATTTCTTATAATATCATTTCAAAATTAGTCCATAAGGAATCAAAATTTAAGAAGCAGTGAAAGTGATCCCATGTGTTCAACAATCAGTGATGTGAACATTGGAATTGAGAGAGAAGGAAGCCATTGAGAAGTTGAAATTATTAGAAGAAGGACTCAAAATTTTTACCTAAGTTAAATCAAATTCATTTATCAAGAATCAAGTTCATTTCAAGTTTCAAGTTATATCATATAGTAGCCTAAACCTCAAGAGGACTCAACTCAATCATTATCTTCAAAATTAAGTATAACCTTTTCTTTAAACTCTTTTAAATTTTGTGCTAATTGGACTTACCTTTTGGACAATACCAAAATTAGATTTTTCATTGTTGGGATTTATAAGTTCAACACCTTAATTAGGCCTATTTGGACACTATTACATTTATTAATTATTAGCATTCAAGCCAGCACGACACCCTACCCTGAGATAGATCACATCTAAATTATTTGAACCTTCAAGTTATTATTCAAATTTATCTTTTATTTCAATTTAATTTTAACCCCATACACCAATGTCAATCCTTTCATTGTAACGTCAAGCCTTTTCTCATTGCATGTTAATTGTTCATTTGTTTAAATAAAACACCTTTTGTAATCCTTATCTTTGTTAACTTATTAACTTTAAACATTTATAGAATAGGCCTAGCCTAAATGAATATTGTAAGGTGAGTTTACAAACGTGTGACCCGGCAAAACGCCTTGCTCCACATTCCAAAAGTAAGCCTAGAAGTGGGAAAAAAAGGGTTTTCTTACTTTGGCCCAAAGATGTACAATGATCTCCCCTTGGACCTAAAACAGCTAGGGGGCCTTGCTTTCAAAAGAAAAGTGAAAAAGATGTAAAATATTGTATATAGATTATAATTTTGTTTTGTCATACACAGTGTTTTGTATTATAATTTTTGGATATTTTGAAAAGAGTCACTTTGTAAAACAGTTCTTGTACTGAAAGACGCTCGCAAATAAAGGCATTTTTATTTATTTTATTTATTTATTATTTATGGTGTATTATTTTTGCTAATATTAAGTTATTTTTGTTGTTTCAACTTATGGTTTCATCAAAAGTGTCAAGATAACTCATTTTGATTTTCCAGGTGTTCTCTATTTTACCCGATCCCGGACTTCCGCCTCCAGATCTCCCAGAATTTGATGATGACACCAAACAGTATCTGAAGACTTTGAGAAACCATCTAGCCATGCTCAGCAGCCCTTAATTTGTTTAGTACCGGTACTTAAAGTATTAAGGATTGTATGATATTGTATATTTACTTCGATAAGAACTTGTAATATCATGGTCTTACTCTATAATTTAGTTATAATTGGTCTATTTTGCATTTCAGAGATTGAGAATAATATCATAGTTATAATAATTATTTATCTCAAAGTGTGAATTTGTTATCGTATTCGTGTTTAGGGTGTTACTGTTAATAAAGTTGTAATCAATTTTTTTTTTGTATTGCAAAATTATTACCTTGTTGTTTGAGGATTTACTGTAAACGATTTCCAACAGGATTAGTGAAAAACAATTACCTTATAAAGATACAAACCGTATTAAGTTGTTTTGGTAGAGATGTTTAGGGCCTGATGTAGAGTGGTTTACCAACAGAGTGCAACACTATCAATTCTTTTTTCATTTTTATGACAACATTTAATAATTTAAACTACGCAGCGACATAAACCTGTGATACACTATGAGAACTGTCAAAGTAGGATTGTTTACAGTTAAGTTTATGTGTTTAATTTATAAATAATCTTTTGATATTGTGCGAAAAGTCGATAATTTACTTTTTTTGTTTAGGTTTAGTGGTAGAACATCATGGCTATAGTAGATGTGTAGCATACAACAAATTAAAAGTACAAAATTTAATCAACCCGTGTCCTCTCCCATTGCAAAGGCAAAGCACAAGTATAACTACAATAAGCATTTTATACTTATACCCCAACCCCGTACGAAGGACGGGTATTCTGCTATTCCATATATAAATCCCAAAGTACTCGTAAACTTTGGAGAAAACTACAAGTCACACCCCCATAAACCATATACTTAAAATGTTCGTCATGACAAGAAACGCCACCAGTGTTGCAATGCACTCAGTATAATAAGGTTGCACTACAGTATAAGGTTGTCCATGTTTATCTTCGTTATTGATAAACCTAAAGCATTCCGGCTGGTAATCTCCTTCTCAAAATGCCTCGCCGTACAGGCAACACAGGTCATTGATAGAGGGCCAATTGAGAACGAAAAGTCGTTTTGGGGTAGGCCTTTAGCGATGTGTCTAAAGGTGCATTGTCCCTGAAGCGACTCTTGCGATAGTAGCTGAGCGATAGTAGCTCAGTGATAGTAGTTGAGCACTGGTTAGCGTTGTTTCAAATGGGACCATTGTCCTTGACGTGACTGCGACTGGAGCGGCTAGTGGCTGAACACAGCGACTGTAGCGGGTCTGCTCTGAGGGGAGTCAGAGTCGCAGTTGCTGAGCGATTTGTGTTGTGCGTAGACTTGTTTATTGGTCGTAATGTCTTCAAAGAATACAAAACTGTTTTCTACCCCTGAAGAAGATGAAAAGCTGTTAGTACAGAATAAGTACGGTATTGAATAAATACTTGAAGATTTAAAATGTGGGGCGCATGATAATTATTAATTATAATTATAATACAGTAGAACTCCGATTATCCGAATCAATAGGGACCAGACCCCATTCGGATAATCGGAGTTTTACCGGAGTTCCGGGAATTTTAAAGATAGATCCTAATTTTCGGTACTAAGTAAACTTTTAATTAATAATAAATTAAATCAGAAAATTTTTACAGTTTACAATGCTCTTAGTACAAGTGTTCTATACATGTTATTAAGTTAATAGTTTAGCCAGTGTGTAATTTTGGTGTTCCATCAAAGTCCAAAATTACACACTGGCTAAATGTGTTTAATAACAATTCTTTGATATATTGCAAAACTTATTACTGTAGCTTTACGTTTTTAAAATTGTTGAAGTCAGCGATTCGGATAATCGGAGATTCGGTTAATTGGAGTTCGGATAATTGGAGTTCTACTGTAATTATAAATGTGAACTATTATTATCCATTGCATGCTCCCCACGTTTTTCGTTTTAAATCTTAAGTATTTATTCTCTCCACATATTTATAATTTTTTTTACTTTTGAGTGTGTTTAAAAACGTATTATTTTTAAAAATTATTTTTATTTATAATTATATTCTACTAATTTTAGAAATAATGTTATTATTTACAGCTGGCTTCAATTGATATATTTATTTAGGCCTACATTCTTCCAAAATGTAAACATGAAAAATTCGGAAGCCCATGGAGCTTAGCCCAAGGGAAATATGAAAATTAAATGATATAATATTGCATTGTCATCCATTTGTGAGCTATGTTTCAAGTTTCAGTTCTCTAGCTCATCGGGAAGTTAGTTATTGATTGCAAAGTTTGTACCGGACAAGAAAGTGAGCTAATAAAAACGTTTTAAAATTAGCTGGTGTCATGGCACTCATGGCACCAATTCACTCGAAAAGTCAGCAAAATGAACAAAATCGCTCTAGAACAATCGCTTCAGGGACAATGACATGGTTAGCTACAATCGCTGAGCTACTATCGCTCAGCTACTATCGCAAGAGTCGCTTCAGGGACAATGCACCTTAAGGCCAAAACTCAAAACCAACTAGAAAAGAGATCACGAGAACATAGTTTTGTATTTCCCAAAATCGTGATTTTCTTCCTTTCGGTAATGAATATAGAGCATATAATATTAATGTGAAATGGACAAGACACTTGGCCATAGGCTATTGGAGGAGATACTTCCACAGTATAAAGTATGTTATTTAAAAAACTAGATAGTAAATTTCTAGGTCCAAATCTAAATTTACGTAATCTACTAACTGACAATTCACCAGCTTTTGTCCGTCTTCCAAATTGTACAGAGATTCTCAAATGATTCCAGTATCAAGATCGGCTTGACATTCTGGTCCCCACTTCAAGTTTATTAGATTTTGATTTACAATTAATTATTACAAATTACAATACCATCATGAAAACATTATCAAGATTTTACTGTAAAAATATTGTCAAACTGCTTTTACAGATGCAACCAGGGCTTAAAATAACAAATTAACTAACTGGGCGACACTTAGTGGCTGTGGTTGGTGCCGGTATATTTTTTTAATGGTACACATTTTAATTGTATCAGAAATAAAAAAGTTTTCAAAAAATAACATTGTGTAAATATTTTCGAGTATTCTCAGCTTCCGTTAAGTGTTAAGTAAGCTAGTGATTAACAGGCTTCATTTTGGCCCAAGAGGTTGTGAAGGGAGAAGGGGGCCCCTTGGCCTGTTACTTGTAGAATATGCAATTAAGTGTGAGATTATATGGACTATTTACAAGCAAATATAATCGGAAAATCCGTTAAAAGATACGTAGAAATGTCTGATTTTCACTTTAATCCATGCAAACATTATCCGGGAGAGAACCACCTTGTACCACCGTTTTTGCTGGGGGGGGGGGGGTGGAATAACCCCGGTAAGTCCGGTTCCGCTGTCGCCCAGTCGAAATCCCTTAAAATATGCTCTTGATGCTACCGTAAATTCATAAAATAGACTGATCTTAGTATATATTTAGGCAAGATAACATTCCATTTTTATCATATTTACAAGTATTTTTTACTAGTTTTCATTGTCTCCTGCAATTGTAGCAACATCCGTGACCATATTCGCGATGTCGCTGTCACCACTGGCCTCTCGCTATCGCGTCAACGTCGGGAATCGGATTTTCGGTCACGTTTGGATGACGGGCTTCAGATAATCAACTCTTGAGGTTACTGATACCGAAATCTGATTTTAATAAAGATCAGTTACTGATACTGACCGTAAAAAAGGTGTTGGCTCAAAGCTTAATGTTAATTTGCTATTGATTTTATATTACATACATTACATATATTACATTTTATAAAGAGTGAAGCCCAAGAACAAAGATCAAGACCCAAAAAATATAGTTTATAAAATACCCTGTGAATGTGGAAGAAGTTATTACGGGCAAACATCACGACCTATGGAGAAGAGACTAAAAGAACACAGAAGAGCATTAATTTGGAGAGTTATTCCAAACTAAGTGAACATGTTTTCTCTGAAGAACATAGACATAGAATACATTGGTCTGAATCAACTATGATCTACCAGGAAGCAGACTGGAAACTAAGAAATCTTAAAGAAGCTGCTTGCATGGCGGTTGATAAAAGAAGCATATCCCAACCTAGTGTTACAATCAGCCCTATGTTTATACCTTTAATTCGAGAAGAGGTTGAGAACAAAATTAAAATTGGAAAAACAATAATAAATTAACTGTGACATCTACATAATATATACATATAAAATTTTTTTTTTCCTACTAAATTTTAAAATAATTCAAACATATGTTAATTAATTTAAAAACAAACATTATAAATCATAGTTTATTTACTTGATATGTTGTTACTAGAGGCTGAAGATGAGTTTTTATGTAAACTTGAAATAATATACCTCAACATTTTTTAGTAAATTGTGATTAATTTATTTTAGTGATGAGTAGCCGACAACCTAAGAATAACATACAATTAAATAGTCAAAGTCTGCAATGTAAACGAACCTTCAATCAATATTAAAAGTTACTGAATTATGAGAGGTGGGAGACAGTGCCAGAACTTTTTTGGCAGGTGACGAAAATGGTTAGTGACGTCATAACGGCATCTGAAAAATCTCCCGTGTGCCGCACTGTGATTTTTACTTTCTCCCCCCATACCATAGTATATGGAGAAAGTATTGTTTTCGTCTAAATTTTCGAGTTTGAGTTTTGAGTGGATATATTCGTTTTGGGTCCCCCTGGACCCAAAAAAGTGGTTTTCGAAGTGATGTGTGTGTGTGTGTCTGGATGTGTACAGAGCTAGAGACTATACCTGTGGTCCGATTTCGATGAAATTTGGTATGTAGGTTCTAATCCATGGTATCTCCAGGTGTTTTTTTCTCTCATCAGGCCATTTTTTTTTGAAATTTTCATTTTTAATGGGGATTTCCTCATAAAACCCCATAAAAAACCGGAAAAGTCTGATTTTCTCAAAAATGGCCGAACGGTTTTTATAAAAATTTAGTATGTTGTAGCCCTTTAAATTCTGAATAAAATGGTACAAATCCCATTTCTGTAAAAATTACGGTTCAAAAGTTATGGTCAAATATGTTATTTCCCCATAAAAAACCCATAAAATAACAAAAAATAGGATTTTAGAAAAAAATCCGTTTTTGATTTAACATAGTATATGTTATGGTCCTTACAATTTTGATTGCTTATTTAATTTTTTAGAAATTTCTATTTTTAATGGGGATTTTCCCATAAAACCCTCATAAAATAACAGAAAAATCGGATTTCCCCAAAAATGGCTCAAACGATTTTGATAAAAATTTTGTATGTTAGTACTTTAAATTCTGAACAAAATTGTACAAATCCCATTTCCGTATATTTACTCTCACCGCTTACACATGATGAGGAGTGATGTTTTATCTATGACATGATAAAGGTTGTTGACAAACTTATGGGAGAAAGTATGTGTCAGAATGCTGATACTGTTTCTTGTGTTTTCCTACAGTTACCTAACAATGTACATGTTCTCTCACTGATTTGAGAAAGCAAAGTGGCCAATTCGCTCATCAGTAAGACAATGTTAACATTGTCTCACTCTAATTACTTTGTCTCACTCCAGATTTGCAACGTGAAGGCACGAAATAGTGAGCTCGTAACATGCAGGCAACGTCGTATGCGCACGAAATACGTTGGCAGCACACTGGCTGTAAATCAGCTGGTCAGCTGTTGTACTGTTGTATTTTACACTTCTCATTAAATGTTATATTAAAAGTTCACTTCTGTGTAAAAATAGGTTATGTTTCTTCACAAATTTATTTGTTTTATGGTAACTGTATGAAAAGTATAATGTGCAACTCGAGTTCAAAGTACAATTGCCTCACTCGAGAAACCATTCTGAGTAAGGATTTCTCTCGAGTGAGTCAATTGCTCACTTTTCTCACTAGTTGCACAAATAACCATTGTTCTTCTTCCTATCAAACTGTGTGGTGTTTGTTGCCATTGCCTAGCCTCTAAGCTGTCTTCTTCTTCTTCTCGTCTGTATCGTAATCGTCTTCTTCTCTTCTCTTCTCTTCTATCAACTCAACTTAGCGTCGTGTTGTTTTGTAGCCGGATAATTGCATTATTTGTTTGTTTTAGAAACAACTGTATTGGTTACATTTCATTACATTTATCTTCAAAACTTCTGGTATGTTCCAATCTAATTGTATTATTTTACAGTAGAAATAACATTCATGTAACTTATTATATGTAGGCCTACATTATTTGATTTGGTTTTCCATTTGCAGGAGGCAGGAAGGTTGCCGGCTTTAAGTTACTCTTGTATTGTTGTAACCTTTCTCCTGGCCTTCAAGGCTTTCTATTGATAATCAGGTGACAAATAAACCAACTGTAAAAGTACACAACGAAGTAGTTCAATAACTACCATTGCATTCACTATATTTCAATTTAACTTTCATAGCAATCCTTATTTTAGGCCTAGGGCCTATTTTAGGGTCAACTTGGAGTGCTCGACCATAAAAATTGCTTTAGCTGCCCGCCTTAACAGGGAAGTAAGTTGAATGTCGTAAGCCTACTTAGCAGACCTATACATAGGAAAGATTCTAGGTTTTTGTTTCGACGCTCAACTCACCTTAAAACGTTCTAGGCCTAAAAGATGTTTTTAAACTGTTCTTTGACACCAACACTACAACTTCCTTAAATGATTTTTTTGTCGCCGAGGCTTCTTTGGATTACAGTACTACAATCAGAGGGTACAGTTTCTTAACTGGGCTAAGTTATGCTAATATTAATTGAAACTAGGCCTACAGTATCGAATAAGTAAAATAATATTAGCGTTTGCAAATATCTGAATTACTGAAAAATGCAACTCTCAAACTCTATACCAAAGTTTTTTTATTCCTTGACTAACCAATTTTGTCCAGCAACGTCCTTAGTTTATCTTTATCGTCTGTTTCATTGCTCCCAGTCCTTCAATTGTCTGCCGGCCAGTCTGAATGTATCTGTGTTCTCTAGCAGACAGAGCGTTTTGACTCGGTTATTCGTTATTTTTAGTGAGTTGTGACGAGCGATGCAAATTTTATGTTTTCTCTTACAATTTGAATATTGACAATGTAGCACGAATATTGAACAGAAACGGTATGGATTAATAAACATGGGCAAATGACGTCACTGGCCCAAATGTTTATAGACTAAATAGCAGTAACACCGGGTTTGTAAATTTTTGAAAGTTTAAATATATATTTAAATAATTAGGTCTACAAGGGCCTAATATAAACGCTTTACTTTTGGGCATCATTTTGCTAATTGTTTAAGTTTATGACCCATACAGTTTCTGCTACCCTATCTAACTTAACTTATTTTTACTATGTAGGCCTACTATAGGTAGGCCTATACAATTTTGCTAGCCTGATAATTTTTATCCACTATTATATTGGGTCCACTATTACATTAAAGGCCCTATCCTCTTTTTTACACATTACCATATGGCAACCCTACGTATTCTAGGGCATACAAACTAGACATAAATTTGTCTATACCTGGGGATAACTTGCTGTCTTTTAAATGGGTGCAATTTCTATCTGAGCTAGCCTACCTTCCCTTTCATTGAAAATAGGCCTACTGAAGTTTCAGCAAAATGCATGAATCAATCATTACATTCTTCGTATCCAAATAGCCAATACGGCAAATGTCTGCTTAGGCTATCCAATGGCAAGTCAAATCAAATCAAATCAAATAATTTATCATCATGGACATAACTTACATGCATTGACATTGTCAGTGGAGCAGAACATAAAATGCTCCACTGCCGGCAAGAGGATATTTTACAAGATTGAATGAAACTAAAGGAATGAAAAGTGTGTGTTTAGTGAGCTACCAGTGTTGGTGTTGCTGTAAACTTTCAAAGCAATTGAGCCAGATTTTTCAAAATATTAAACACCATGACGCCATTTTGTTCTTTTTTAGAGTGAAAAATATGTATTTTTACAGTTTAGTGCCTCCAGTTGATGACGTCGGGCTTGTGCTCTAATTGCCTCTTTCTTCCCAGCTGAGTTTTCCATTGTTGGCTGCTTAGCTTAACTTTGTATCTTCTCTAAGCTAGGTTGTGTTGCAGGCAGAGAAAATGAGTTTTAACGATCGAGGTGGTGGCCCCTCCAAACAGGAGTTGTTCAGTGTAATGAACGACCCCAACACAGTGGGTGCCAGAATTTTCATCGGTAATATACCAACGAAAATGGAAAGACCAGAGCTTGAAGAAAAATTCTCCTTTTACGGAAAGATTATAGGTAGGCTAGGCTTCTAATTTTAAAAACTAAAATGATTGTTTATTCTACTATAAGTAGCCTACTGTGTTACATAGGTACTGTATAATTCCCTAGTAACTTTTGTAATTTTTTATAATAGTGAATTGTATTTTTATTAGTAGAAAAGAAATAGGCCTAGTAGGGGTTTAAATGATAATGTATGTGTGTATTTAAGAAATCAAACTATTGAAAGGATTAACTATTGGAAAAAATTCCGATAGGCCTAATTGAACATGTTGTGGTACATGTTCAGTAAATCTAAAAACCAAGGTCCTTTAAAACCAGGCCTATAAACTTTGCCTAAACTAATGTTATTAATCATATTCCCTATTTTAGATAAGTATTGTGTCATAGTTACCATGTGTAAGCCTACAGTTGGTTTTTCTAGCATAGGCATTATAACCATAGCATAGGCATTATGTAGCCTAGGCTACATTTAGATTTTATAACATGATTTTTTTATTTTGCCTCCTGGAAATTATAAACAGCCATGAAATAAATAACTATGAATGAGCCAATTGTATTGAATAACCTTTTTCAGGCTAACACTCAAATCTGTACTTTCAGTGTAGTTTAAGTGTAGTTTTCAATTGTCAAATTTCTTTAAGTTAAATGCTGTAGGCCTAAGTTATTAGAAACTACAGTACACTCTCGCTCGAATCCGGATCGGCCTTGACCGGACTCCCCGTTAGTCCGGATCGGCAATCGTGATTTTTTTTTTGTGGCACAGTTCAGTAGAAGTCCGATTATCCGAGCTAAACAGGACCGAGACTACCTCGGATAATCAAAATTCGGAAAACACAGTGGTAAAAATTATTACCGGTGGAACTGCATTTGCCCGGCTATCAAAACTGTGGACCTGGAACAAAATTGAAAAAACGGCTTCATACAGTTACTGTATTTGCTCGACTCTCGATAGTCTGGATTTTTCGTAATCTGTACCGGACGTCCGCCACATTATTCCGGATGAGCGAGAGTCTACTGTATATACCCTAGGCTATCAAATGAATGCGCTTATGAACCCATTAAATTAAATTTTTGTATGATACACTTTTATTCCCGATTAGGCTAGCTAGTAAATTTATGTTGTAAATTTGCTTGCTACAGGTCTGATACCCAAGAATGGATTTGCGTTTATTCAATATGACAGTGAACAGGCAGCTGCTGACGCAATTGCTAATGAATGCGGAAAGACCTACTATGGCAGAAAGATTGGTAAGTAATAGGCCTAGCTCTTTTATTTAATATCTTGAGTTGCTTTAGATTTGTATAGCTTTAAAATAGGTCTGACTCATTTAGAAGAAATGCATGCCATAAGGTTAATTAATGCCGTAGTAGATGTAAACGCACGTGGTAATCAGTTTCACCGATAAGCTTATGATACAAATCAAAATTTTGTTTACTGAGACAGAGATACTGTACTCTTGATTACCCCAGAGAAGTTTTGTAGATTTATTATTCAAGTTTGATAGTTAAAATAGTTTATGTCACATGCTCAATCAAGTTATCCTAGATTAATATAAACACAGTTACACTGTATTAATATTAATACAGTTTCGGGCAACTAGAGTTCATCTTCAAGTGTGACTGAAACATCTAATCGAATCATTCATGATGGTCAGATCTGTCAGAACCTTTGAATACAATGGTACGAAACATGGAACACGAAACAAAATTACTCGTGTTCCGGCGTTGCCGAACAAGTCTCCGGTGATTGTACTGGCCAGTATTTTAATGTTTTATGTATTTTCGATTCACGTTTCTATTTTTTTTATCGTCAATGGTTCTGATGGATCTACTCAACTTGGATAGATGACTGATGTTTTTTGTTGCATTTGAAAATAGGCTTTATTAGCATGGAACTATAGGCCTACCAAGTTATTCATTTCTGAAGAGACAAATTTATTCTATTAACAGGTCATATATGTCATTACGCTATTTAATTATTATACTATTAAACATCAGGTTAATAAGTTACATTTGTTCAGGAAAGACCAGTTACTTACTAATGAAAATACCAGGATTCGGACCTGTACAAAAACGTCAATACCAAAATTTATAAAGATGCGTTGTGCATGAAGCAACTCTTGTGATAGTAGCTCAGCGTTAGTCGGTAGCAGTGTATTGCCCCTGAAGAGATTGATCCAGAGCGATTCTTAATAATTTGTTTGCTGGCTTTTGAGTGAAGTGGTAGACTACACTATGAATATGAGGCTGAAGAATTAGTTTTTAAAGTTCCTTTTGGCCGAGATACCGGTATATTATTGCACGACGAGTGTTGTGACTAGGAAGTAGATGACATATTATTTGTGCCTCAAGTTGCTGCAAATCCAATTTTTACACCAAGACAAAAAAGGCTTAGAATCCTAATAACTTAAGTAACCTGACCATTTGCAAGGTGATGACACTCTCTTAGAGTTTTACCCTTAGCCAGCTAATCCTTATAGAAACAGTTTTTTAGGTTATAAATGGCAGGAAAAGTTGCTACAACTTCGACCAGCTTTTTGTCTTCTCCGGTGTGAGAAGTTTTGTTGACATCTCAGTAATAAATGTGTTTGCACTGTACATCAATCGCACTGCGACTGACACTGCTCTCACGCCAGGCCTGCTATAGTCACGCAAAAGGTTTTGTCAAAAGCAACGGTGATTTCTGTTAGAACGTTTACCAATGCCAAGTGATCATCGCGCATCGATTATCTCAGCTTGATCATCGAAAGAGTCGCTTCAGGCACAATGCACCTTAAATAGAACAAACTAAAGTTTAAAATCCCTTGAAACATTAAACTATAAAATATTACATACATTTATTGTTACAGACGTGAAAGCAGCCACACAGCGTAAAGAGCCTGGTGGTAATAGAGGACCACCTCCTCCTCAACACAGGGAAGATGTGATGGACAGGGACCGATCACCTATCAGAGGAGGGCCAGGGGATCGAGGAAGAGACTGGCGGGAGAATGACAGGTAGGAGTGTGAAATATATTTTAATACTAGTGCCGCAGAAAACCTGAGGACTCAGCAAGTGAATTTCCACTTACTTAATGGGATTATCATAAAATATATCCTGAAACATGTTGTAACTATCCCCTATGCATTGCAAATAACATTCAGTTCAATGAGTATTTGAGAGATTATTACAGACATTTCCAACACTACAAACAACACTCTACCACACTTTGAGTTTGTGTTAGTTATAGTTTTTAATTATATTCTAGTCTATCAAAAATTAGAATAAAATGTTTGGAGAAATATGTTCAATACCACCACCTGTTCCAGGTTTGACAGCCCAGGATTCGGAGGGCATGGAGGTGGAAGAGGGGGTCGAGGAGGTCGTCCTGGACCGGAGTCCCACATGGATAGGTTCCCGGAAGATGATTTTAGAGGTCCTCCCGGGGACTTCCGTGGACCTCGGGATGATTTCCGAGGACCTCCTGAAGACCTTAGGGGGATTCCAGATCTGGACAGGGACTTCAAGTGAGATAATATTTTTGTTCTAGTACAAATTTGTTGTAGTACTAAAGTATATTTTGAAACTATGATACTATTGATGAAACTATGATACTATTGATGAAACAATTGATTGAGTTTTCTCTTTGTCTGACAGTGGGCCTCCGAGGGGTAGAGGACTGCCAGCTGATTACCCCCCTGTTGAAAGGGGGCCTCCTCCTGCCTTGCCTGATAGAACCAATGACTGTGAAATCATCGTGGTCAACAAGATGATCAGGTAAATATAATTGGTTAAACGGATTAGAACCTTCAGAAATTACTTACAAGAAATGATGAAACGATTCCACGAGGCCATTGCTATATTTTTGCAGGGTGTAGAAGACAGGTTTTTAACTTATGGTCAAGAAGATAAAAAGACGCTTTCCTCGCAAAGTTCAAGATATTTTGGGATATTATTATATAATCCCTTGTTTTAAATTTGCAAAATGCTTGTGTTAAAGAGCAATGATTTATAAGTGAGCCTTATCCACCACATACCTAAATAAATTGTCTAAATAATATGAGATTTTCAACCAACCCTCTCCTAATGGTACATACCTTCATTAAAGGGTTGTATTTATCCACATTTTCAATATTAAATACACACTTTCCCTTACATAAACTTTTGATTCTTATCATATATTTTGCATGTTTACATTACAATAAACTTCAACCCACACAGCTGATTGAAAATACATAACCAAAAAGATCCTCTTTAAAATAAGCGATTAGTACGATTGAGTCTTCCGTTTATGGGTGGGTTTGTAACTGTTTAACATAGTAGATTTAAAGCACCATATTACCGGTACTCTCCTCTGTATTCCCAACCTTTTGTGAAGCACAGGCACATAATTTAGTTGTACTAATCTTTTCATCCTGCCTCTATAAAAATTTTTAAAAGTTTACTTTGTACACTTGACATATTTTTTACTATGTCATTTATGAATTATGTTTTGTCAACAGAGAGTACGCAGAATTTATCGAGAGGCGGCTGATCAAGATCGGTTTGACAGTGGACTTATTGTTCCCCAATGAGGAAGTTCCGTTGGGACGTGTCCTTGCCAATATATCTGGCCGAGGAACTTTGTTTGCCATTATTGTTAACATTACCAATGAGGAACACAGGAGTCTCACTTTGAACATACTTTACGGACAACCTCAAGGTAATTTTTGAATAACAAATAACAATACTGTGTCGTCAGGGTTTATTTTATACTTAAAGATGGCTTAGCTTATACAAAGTGCTAAAGTAAAATATTTTAAGGTACAGCCTAATTTACTTAAGGAGTCAAATAAAGATTAGTTCAGTACCTAATTAAATCAAATTAGGTAGTTACAAACCAAAATCTTCCCTGTTCTACTCAACTCAAATTGTTTAAACTGTAAATAAGATAGTCCTAGCTGTAAGTTAAGAGATTTTTTGCTACACTACTGTGAAATAACCTGTTTTCGTTACAAATTTATCACCTGCGAAAATGCATTATTACATTGTTTACTACGGCAAAAGAATGTTTACTATGCAAAAGCAATGTTAACTATCAAATCCTTTTTTGGATTTTGCGGACATACACAAACAAATATTTGTTGTTGCTTTGTCAATTGTTTCGATTTTTAATAACTAAAACTGTACAACCAAAGTATTAACTTTAAATTGAAGGGATAACCTACAAATTCTATGAGTTTTGTCATGTTCCTAATTGTAATTAAGAAATATCCAATTTCTGTTTCAATTAAGAAAATAATTAGTCTTTGTAGTGTAGCGAAAGGTAACGTTTAAAACACGAGTGAAAGTGGGTCTATACATATTCTTGACCATTGAAAGTGCTCGATAAATCTATCACTTCAAACATGGTCTCATGTAATGACTCACTTTCTACTCTTGTTATGAAATATAATATTATATCAGTTGCATTTAGTAGTCAATGACATGGTAGCTTTTTCTCCGACCAGAATTGGCAGTTTTTTTGTGCAAGACTCATGTGAGAGATACATACTGTAAAACAATTTCTTTAATTTTTCTATAGATACACACTCTAAACAACTTTAAATTGTTATTGAGGCTGTTAATTTTAAGTACATTATTCAGTCTTACGAAAACTATTCTAGAGGTTAAAAGATATGTACACAAATGTCTCATAACATTACACTGATATATTCCAAGTACCTATACAACTTCTTCATAGAGTAGATTCAATGGTAATGGTAAATAGAGTATAAATATTTCTATTATGTAGTGTGATTTTTTGGACAGTCAATTTCTTTATTATTTAGAGATCTCGGGATCGGACTATTGTCTGAACTAAAATAAATTCAAAAAATTGGCTACTAATATAAAAAACAATCATGTGTACAAGTACTACAGTTTTATACTAGGTGAAAATGGTAACCATCAATAAAATGTAAAGGGCCAAAAGTGGGTTGTAAATATTGTTAACAAGGCTATACAAAGTTGTAATTGTGCATTTTGCTACCCCAACTATACGAAGCTAAACCAACGGCTCTATCTCTAAGCCCTTGGACTCAATTTTCAAACTTAGTTTTCTCAATTTAGGTAGCTGAACTCTCCTTTCTGAAAATGAATCCTTTTAAAACATAAACCAAATAGATTTCCGTTACAAATTTTGGTAAAACTTATCAAGTAAATGTTTACTTTTACTTACTTTTTATGGAGAAGGGTATTCTGTGTATATAATGTGTATGTGATTTGTGAAAAGCACTAACGAATTATAGCTAAGAAGATTTGATGGAGTGCTGAAATCCTGGTCTATCCTGAGATCCTGATGATGAAAAGGTGAGAATTTATGAATATCTGTGGCGGATGAGTGCTGCAGCGAGTTTAAACTGATCTCACAAGCTGCTACTGAAGATGATTTAAATTGTTATATTTGTATCACCTTGAAGTTGAAGAATATAGTCAAGTCCTGATTAACCGCAGCCTAATAAAGGGAGCAATGTTTTGGATAACCTATGTTTTAGCTAGCTATTTTTAGGAGTTTTTATGTTATGTCCATTCAAAGATATGTAACTTACAAACAACAATAGTTCTTTATGTTATTTTAATTGCTTTCACCTTAAAATCTATAATTGTGTATGCAGAATGTATTTCTCTAAATTGTAACTGGTAATTTCTGAGCTTTATTCAGTACTCTCCCGATTAACCGAGGTTGTTCCACGGAGGTCTCCTAGATTTTGTGGTTAGGGGGTATGTTACGACATTAGGAAGTCAAAGACTTGTAGAGTAGGCCTATATTTTTAATCACAATGCATAATGAATACAGAATTATCAATAATTGGTATTTTCATTGAAAACGTTTTGAAATATGGCAGTCTTGTTAAGGAAAACATTAACTCAAAACACTTCTTTAATTGTCTTGGAAAACTTAAATAAACTATGCTAAACCAACACTGTACATGATTGTTAAAGTTTTTATAAAGTATAAGATCAATTTCTGATTAAGTTTGAATTGAAATATGTAGGCTATATTTGACACAATCGTGTCAATATTAAAACATTAACATTGTAATGACTAACATTGACAAATGACACTGCGGGCAGGCAATGCCCTAGCAGAAATACCACTGCTTTTGTTGAGGTTCTGCAGACGACTCGTCCAGCAATTACCAATTGTTAGCGGCCGACCTAGTACTGTGTGATTTTCAATTTCTAGGTTATTGCGGATCATTTGTACGTTAAAATAATACCTTAATGATTATTGAACGTATTATTTTAAACAATCACAAATTACTTGCCATTTTTACTTTACTTCCAATAGAAACATTCCCAAAAACATAGTTATTGTTTTCCGACCGGAAATAAAAGTATATATATTTAGGCCTATAACAACCTTGGATAACCCGAGTGTACTGTATTACGGTCTCATGAGAATTATGCTGCTGTCAGCTGTAAAGGATTCCGTTAACCATTACGGACCAAATACTTGGCCACGTTAGAATCCCAGTTACCTAGCTCATTCTCCAATTGATTTGGATTTATTATGATGGTTTCGGTAAATCCAGGTTTTGCTTGAGTCCCCACTGTACTGTGGTTAGAGGGTTTTACTGTTCTAGTTTTTTAGTTGGTTCTCAAGTAAAGGTGCTAAATAAACCGTAAATAATTTCTGTCCTGACCTTAAAACTGTCCTTGGCTGATCAATAAGGAGGATAAATACATAAGTTAATTGTTATTCTGTAACTAACGTACTCCCCTAGAGTTTACATTTTTATGAGCTGAAGACAATTTAAAGGAATATTTTTGTCTGGTCACTATATATCCTGTTTGTAAAGTTTGGTTTTATGATTGATCTTAATTGTTGTTTCTCCAATTTAAAATCTATTTTTCCCAAGTTATTACCTTAAATACCTTAAATTTATACCTTAATTTTACTACAAAATTTAAAAATAGGAATGGAATATTTACCTCACATTAGTTATTTTATTTTATTCATCAAAGGATATCACCAGAGTCATGCTAATCAAAACCCCAATAATCCAAATATCCCGCTGATCCGAAACACCCGTTGGTAAAAAAAGGTTACAGTATTTGATTAAAAAAAACCTATGTATTCTGAAAGTGTCCAGCTGACCAAGAAAATTAAGAATTGTATAGGAAATGGGAAACCAAGAATAACCATTAATAGCCTATGGCCAAGCATCCTATGTTAATGGCGTAATGTTGGTTCTCTTTTAAGGTAATCATGTTGTTAGAAGAAAAGAAATTGTGAGTTGAACATTTGTGTTGCCAATCGTAGTAGATAATCATGATATCACCGTGATCAGGGCCTCTGATCATGGTGTTGTGAACTTAGGAGCATTGTAAGGTCCATTTGAGGTTATAAAAATACATTAACATTATATACATTTATGATGTAGTTTTATTACATTTTTGGGATAAGTTGGACAGTTTGGGGATTGGAACGCCTTAGTGCAGATTATCAGGGCTCTGGTGTACTGCAAGCATCTAAAATTTAAATATTGGTTATTTTCAACCTATAATTTTCACTGTGTACTACAGCATAAATTTTTCTTAAGTTTGATAATTTTTAAGCGTTTTTCACATAACAATTTGAATTTAGTCAAAGTATTTTATAACATTCTGTATCAAGACTTTAGAAAGTTGATTTTCTTTAGTTTCTAAAGTTAAGAGAACACAATGGATAAGTTGGCTGTGGCTCAATATTTTCTTACAATTAATCAAACAATGTCTAAAAACATAACGATAGAAAACTGTATTCTATTCCTGTAGTACTTTGTAACTAAATCTAAATACTATAGGATAAATAAATTTATGTTATACTGATTTGTGAAACTCACAGGATTGTATGTGTTAGGTATAGAATTATGGTTTTTATAGCAGTAATTGTAATAAAAATTATAAAATGTTAGCTTTACCTAGAATAAGTTTCTTTGTATACTTCATAAGTTGGGTTATGTTCAAATTCCCTGTCTGTAACAAAATTTATTGTTAAACTAACTTGTGTGTACCGGGTTAATCAGCCCACGGTGATAATGAAACTATTAATAATCCCGGGAACTAATACTGTCGATTCATTATTAATAACGGAATACCACTATAGTTCACGGACGCTACTATCGCTAAGTGGCAATACTCGTATATCATCATCAGTAATCTAAAGAAATAATTCGCGTAGGTCTATGCTTTAATTTTGAAAACACGCTAGCGCCACCTTTTAATTGATTCCATGCTCCGATTCCGCTATCACAGACATTCATGCAGTTAGCAATTTATAAGTTTATGCCACTGCCACTAATCTTTAATTATCCGATTGCCAATTAATTATATTTTGATTCGTCGGTGATACTATTTTCTATTTTGCAGATTTTAATGTCTCCGCTCGATTTATTAATGTGCGCTATTGCCAAAAAACTATAATGCATGGGCGCTACAACGACAATCGATTATTTTATCGCTAACAGCAAACGCTATTTTATGATTCATTAATATAATTATGTAAATGCCGCTAATCATATATAAGGTAAGCTACAATCGTTAGCTTACAATCGTAGTTCATGTGTACAAACGCCGCCAATTGAATTGTTCTCGCATCTGCGCCTTTTCATATCTGTCAACTATTTTTTACGCACGCCAATTCTTCTGTTGTACAATCAAAGTGTATGTGCGTATGGATTCTTGATTCTAAGTAAATGGAGACGGATTTATTTTTTAATTCGTGTGCTAAAATCGCCAATTAATAATAAATGTGCGCCAATGCTGTAAAATTATAATGCACGGACGAAAAATGTGACTCGGCGGTGGATGATTTACGTTTCCAAACCCTGCTAATTTTTTTGCGGTTTCATTTAACAGGATTATTCACATATTTTAATGTTCATTACAAAATATTCATGATGTGCAGATTGTTAACACTTCCTATTGTTAATTAATTAACAGATTTGTTTATTGTTCAATAAAAAATGTAAAAATTTTCTTGGTACAAAATTTAAAATGTTAGATTTTATTTATCAATTGGTAAATTAGTTTAGCATCAGTTTATGTCCATCCATTTAAAATAAAGAAAACTGTATTAATAAATTTTGTTAGCTATTTTCAATATTGTTTAACATTATAAACGTTTAATATTCTGTTGATGGCAAACATATATTTCATAGGTTTAAAGTAAAATACCCGCTAAATTGTCCCTCTCGCTCACATATTATCGAATTCGGAAAGTAAAAGTTCCGTTTAAGTTGGTCAGTTCCGTTTTGTATCTGTTTAATTATAAGTTTTCCAGTTTGTGTGATAAGTGTATTTATACATCTGTGTTTATGTTTATTTATTTTTGCAAATTGGTGAGTATTGATACAAATTGAAGTACAAAATGAATTTAAGTTTTTAAAATGAATAACTATTCTTAACTGTAGTTTTTTTTCAACAGAACATAGGAACATGCCACTAGAGGATGCGTTGGCGTTCATTGCTCGCAGCTTTGACGCTTACCTGCGTGGGGAGAGGGGACAAGGTCCCGGTCCGGTTTCTGTCGGACAACCGGATTACGATAAACATCCAGAGGCTATCCAGACACTTCTGAATCTTCTACGAGAGAATCGCCAACTCACGGTGCTGCAGTACGATAAGGTAACCACACAGCAAAGAACGTTTGAACATTCAGTGCTATTTTTCTTTGCAACACTAAAAAATGATCAGTTTTACCAATCCCTTAGCTTTTTTTATTCAGCAACTTATATAAACGTGCATAAGTTGCTGAATAAAAAAAGCTAAGTGTTAGAGTGTGTTTGTGAGGATAGTAGGCTTACCTGAATGGTAAAGAGTCCATGCTGGCAAAGAATCAATAAAACTTATTTTAAAGACAGAATATTATTCCATATTACAGTACTGAATTAATTTTTGACCACGGGAGGTTTCTGTTGGGAAGGAGATGTTCAGGTTCCTTAGTTAAAAATGGTGATAGTTAATTATTGTGTAAGCACTTTTATGTATATGTTTTTTTTGTCAGAGTGTACTCTTTTCCATTCAGATAAGCCTGCTGCTCTAACAAAATTTATAAAACCTACGCTTTTGTGCTTTATGCTACATACTTGAGTATTTGAGTGGTTAGTACTCACTTGATAATCTCGAGGTTGGCTGGTTTAATTCAGAATTCCGATAAAGGTTTGAAACACTTTTTGTATGTCCAAAACTTATGATCCAGAGATTTAGAAAAGTTATCCAGATTTAGAAAAGTAATCCCAGTTATAGCCTCAGCTAATCATAGTCTGTAACGAAGCTTTCTGGTCATTCATTCTACACTTAAAACATTCAATGTCTTCAGGATTTTTATCCTTAAAAACCACAATTTAGCTTGGTTTCACAGTACTGTAGCGGCCTATTCAGTTTAAAAAAATTGTTCCTGACCCGTCTGAATGTTGATTGTAGGTAATCAAATATCTGCAAGACAGGAGGGAAGTCCAAATCAAACTTGAGGTTGGAGATGCTCAAGGATTGCCTTCCATCGCTGGAGGTGGGTTTGATGGATACCGTATGTTACAACTTAACTCCAAAATCAGGCAACTTTCACTCTAGTTTTAATTTTAGTTTTGCAAGTTTTTTAAAAATATTGATAGGATAAAGCAACATTTTAAAATCAGGTAGATAGTGTTACTTTAATAGGTCTTTAAAATTTTTTATCTCAATAGTAGGGTCCCTTGGCTCTTTAATTAAATATTATGGTAGCTCAGTCGATGGTGCAACAGACGACAATACTATAGCCCCGTTCACACGGGGCGAGTTTACTAGCTACACGCCAGCTTTTTTTAACGCAGCTAGTAAAATAGCTCAGTGTGAACGACGTACTCGCTCAAAAGCTGCTTGTAAAAAAGCTCTGGAAAAAGTTTACTATGTGGTTACTTTACACGCCAACACGCTAGCTTTTGAGTGAGTAGGCGTGTAAAGTAGCCTAGTATGAACACAGTTGCTTGTGCTTGTGCGCATGTTGTTTAAAGATGTCGGAGGATTTAGTTCAAGCCAGCTACTTAGCAAGTGGAAAAAGCATTGTGTGAACGACTACATTTTTGTAACCACTAAATTTCATCAGTACAATTCACTCTTCTACTGTATCAGCTCAATTTTTGCTTTTCACGATACAATCCAAGGAAAGGTCCGAGGCCTATGTGGGCTAGCATTAAAAGGATCCAAAAAAACGCATTAACTTACTCTATATAACTAAACAAAGACATGTTAGTTACACCACTTATAACTCAAGAACGGCTTGACCGATTTTAATGATTTTTGATTCGTTGGATTCGTCTTTGTCTCAATTGACATATAGGCACATTCAGTTTTGTAATTTACCTTAGGACTTAGCCCCACTGGCCTGTTAAGTTTGTATGTTAAGCTTAAGAAGATATTGGAGGAATGTAAATAAACAAATCTATTGACTAAAGTTAGCTGTAAATACTTCAATTTAACAGTTCAAGGAGCAGAGGTTAAGAGGTACAGGTTCTGCTCCCAAGATTCTTAAGTTTTATCTTTGACTATTAATACAACAATAGTCAACAACAACAATATTCTGTATCCAATAGTCAATGGTTTCATGATTATGAGAATACATTTTTATTGGTATATTTTCATGGAAACAGAAGGATCATTACAACGTCTAAAATGTTTTGTAATTATGTTTGTACTGTTAGCTATTTGTTAACAACAAATTTGAAATGATTAACATGTCATGTTTGGATTAAAATTTTAAATAGATTGATATTTTTAAAACTAAATGAAAAAATATATATGTTTAAACATTTAGGTGACTATTTACACTATTATTTATTTTCATCATTCAATTTACAAACTAAATTTCAATTATAGACTACTACGGTACAATTTTTTTGTCCAGTTAGCTACTATTATTTTCTTATATTATTTACTTAGGAAACTTAAAATACTTAGTACTGTATACTATTTATATGCTATCGTAAAATCTAAAGCCTTTTTCAACTGTATTTCACAAGTGGTTTCGATTGAGTGTCCTGATGGTAAAATACTTAATTTCACTTAACTTGCACTTAACATTACCATAGTTTTTTCACATTTAGAGTGCACATTTTGAAAGTGCTAGTGTCAAAAACTCTATTTTGTACCAAATGTTTTGTTTCTGGCCAAGTTGATTGGTCATAACAGTTGCATTAGCCAGTTTGACTTGGTAAAAAATTGGTTGTGTTCGACAGAAATTAGTAATTTGGATCAGCACAATCTGTCGGTGGCTCACATCAACTACGAAGATTTTGATAAAAAAAACTGGCGGTAACTTAAGCATTGGGATGGTATGTCTCGTTGTATTAATAGCCAAGGATGCAACCTAAACAAAAATACATAATGCCAATGTTAGAGAGATCATATTACTATTTCTCAAATAAACATGTCTACAGGTAACCAACCACCTACGACTAAACAGCAAGCAGAACTGCAACATCGCATCTTGAACATATTGAACCAGTCCGGAGGCCAGGGTGGGGGGCCCCCGCCACAACCGGTGTCCTCCCCGTGGAATCAACAGCAATCTGCGTCCTCCGCACCAGCCCCGCTGCTCAACGATCCTACTGTGCAGAAGGTTAGTAGCAGCGTAGCGAGTTTGACAAGTTAGTCTTTGCTATTTATTACTTTAAAATTATCAAATATAAATTTAATTATTATAATCACATCCGGTAAAATTTAAAGAATATTAATTTATTATTGAATTCAGATATTCCTTCAACTTGTTATCCAAAAATTATTCTACTGATTAGTAAGCTTTCCCGAATGACCACTCAATATTTAACACAGAGAATTATACATCACGTATTAGGTACAACTAATGTTCAAAATGGAACCTACATAATTTGTACTTTTAACTGCTGGTATTTTGTTACATACACTGTTTAGGTACACAATTGTAGTTTAGAGATTTAAGTGAGAGTAAAAATGAAGACAGAAAATTATATAAAATTTACAACTAACACGACTTATTATAAATTGTATAATTTAGGTAAGGTGTAAACAAACCAATACATCAATTCCATTAATATCACAATTGTTAACAAATTTAAAAGGATTTTATTATTATTTTATTGCAGCTAATGAAATAAATTCGGACAGTTAATTTTTCTCAACTAAACAATACTTAAGTGAACATCCCATCCATATGAGGGTTGGAGGGAAATGTTTGTACCCCGATATAATCCCCTCACAGGTTGAGCTCAATGCTTACAATCTATTTCTCCATGGTATAGGGTACAAGGTAGTTTACTTAACATTAAAAATCCTATGTCTTACACTCAAGGCTCAAGGTGGATTGGAAGTTTTTCTTTTAGTTAAGCAAGGTTTAAAAGATGGCGGGCAAAACAGAAAACAGACAACTATTTTGTACAGTTTTAGGTTAAGGATGTTTTTTAAAATAAAGTACAGGGGCCTAGGGTTTTAGGATTTTTGGGTCTGAAATATTAAATAACTAAGCAAGGTGTCCAGCCAAACAGAAAACCGGGAATTGTACGTGAATTTTGATGGCCAGGAATGTCTGTGAATTTTACGTGATTGTATGGAACCAACAAATTAAAAAAGATTACCAAAATGCTAATATGGCCGAGCATACATCCATTGACAGCGTTCTCTAGGTTCTCATTTTAGGTCATAAGTAAGAAGAACTTGATGGAGATTGTGGGATATGACAGGTCACAGGCATTGCCGGGATCGTAGTAGATGGATACAAATTTTATGGAATTGCATGATCGTGGGAGACAATCACGGTTTAGTTGTGATGGCGTGAGCGAATGAGCGATATACAGACATATAAAGTAAAAAATAGTTTGTATTAGCAAGACTGGTCTTATCTGATTCAATTTTTAACTGATTTTACCATAACCTGTGCTACACCCAATAAATATGGATTGGATGTCCACTTAATTACAGTTTATCCTTAGTCAAAGCCATGATGTTGTTCAGTAATCCATGGATAGTAACATTTATGTCTTCATCTGTCTGTACCATGATGAAGGAACCGGTAAGCAATAGAAAAACGTTTTAAACATTAACACCATGTTATTTAAAATAAAACAGTAATGAATTACCATCTTAGTGTATGAACTTGTGAATAACATTGTAGTTTACATGGGCGTAAACAAATATAATACTCACAAAAATAGCTAAACGATTATGAAAGTGTATTTTGTGCTGTGCCTAGGTAAACCTATATTAATGTTACTATACATTATGTTTATACCACCAGACTTCTTCATTTTCAAAGATTTGAACTACAAAAATGTGTATTACCCTGTAAATTTCTGATCTTCGATTTTACTAGTATATCCACCTGTGTGTGGCATATTGTATGAAAGAATCATTAACGCTTGGTAAAGTAGTGAAAACCCCTCAAACTTAAGTAGACATGCAGTGCATCAAACCTATCCCTCTTGTACCAAAGTCTAAGACGCTAACCACTAGGATAACACACTATTTCTTCACCAAAGTTTTTATAATACAATCTTTGGCGCCTATATTTGTTAGTATTGAAATCCGATTTGTTTGCAGGCGTTAGACAGTTTGATTCAAGGTGACCTGCTCAAGAAGATCAACCCCGGCGCACCCGGACCCGTTAGGCCGCCGCAGCAGCCGTTGTTTGGGGCATACGCAGGCGGACGACGTTGATTACCTAGAAATAGAGGTTAAGTTTCCTGTATAATTTTAAGTGATTGACAAAATGTATTTCAGTTTTTTTATTGTGACGCCACATAGTTTGAATATGATAAATAAACAGTATTTGGTGTAGACTTGTAGATTGTTTACTTTGTTCCCAAAGTGTGTCTTCTGCTATTTAGTTTTAGTGGATGGATCCGATCATTGACTAATAGTAGACCTTGCTTTGCTATTTAAACGTTTGTGCCTGTTTTTTTATGGTTTGTAACACGTAGGGGGTGCTTTTGATGACTTGAACTTTTTTTATTCAAAGATGCAGCTAGTATTCTGTATGGTATGTCAGTTATTTTCTATATTAATGTGTTTTTGTTTTTACTTTTCTATAATACTTTCAGCCTAAATGATAAGTCTGATGTTTACTGACTTTTTTCATTTATTTTTTGAACAACCCAATTTTGTTCAAAATAAGAATTGGTTGTCATTCACACTCACAGTCAGGATAAGTATAGAGTACAGTAGAACGCCGGTTAACCGAAATAAAGGTGGGAGAGCCGTTTTGGATAACCAATTTTTCGGTTAACCCGTCATATGCTTAAAACAGCCTATTTATTACCACGGTGTGTAGGAAAAATTTTAAAACAATGTGTTTTGTTTCAGCTATAGAAATGTTGAAATGGGTTAGATAATACTTTAAACTAATAACTAAAGTTACTGAAGCATTTTAAATTACATATTAATTATATTTTAGCCCTGTATTATTTTATAGAACCGTTTCGGTTAACCCGAATTCTGTTAGTAGGGGTTCTACTGTAGTTAAATTACAAATTTATAGAGCAAATCATAACAAGTTTGTCCATCGTTTGTTTTAGATGGGCTTCTGTCACAAATGGGCTAACTCAGTGTTTTCTTACACAGAATCTCTAGACTAAGCGCGGGACTAAAACAGGATACAGGATAAAACTGGATTTTTAGGCTCCGACACCTTATTTTCTTTCCATTACAGATTTCCAGATGCAAACCAATCTCAAAATTTAATTATTTAAAAAAAGTATTACCAAGATTGAAACAGCTATTTTAACTTTCATCATAAAGATCACTCAGAATAGAGAAGGATTTTTTACAACATTCATTATGGGGTAAAACAGAATTTTTCATAAAAGATCAGGGGGGGAAACATAATTTTCCCAATCAAGTAAGTGGGATTTATGATTCAGTTTTGTGGAAACATTAGGTGAACTCCATGGGATGCACACCAGACAAACTGATATACAAATTCAAACCCCTAATCTTCAGTGTTGTCTGTATCTTTGCTAGGAGACGTCTTATACCACTCAGACTCGTCCATTGATCACCAAAGAACATACTGGTAAAATTCCAAAGTAGTAGTTTAAAAATTCACTCCCAGGGTACAATGAAGTGGACAAAATGGTGTTCATAAATTAATCTTTTTGGTCAGTGTGATCGAAAATACTCAATTACTTATTCAAACCGAACTTGTTCTTGACTGAAAGACTCTTTTGTATTGTGCTAATTCTTTAGATTTTCGTGGTTTGGCAGTTGTGCTGTCCTATTACTGCTTTCGTAAATTTATTGACTGAATAAATTAGCTGTATGTAAACAAGGAACATTTAGCAGTATTGCTGTTTTGAAAACAATAAAAAAATAAGATGAAATGGAGTAGTTACATGTCATCATTTAAGTTGTTAGTATTTAAAAAAAAGACAGTATACAACAGACAACGCCCAAGCGACATTTGATAAACCACGGACATTTCAAAACACCCCTCGGTAGCTCTCTGCAGTCAGCATTTGGTTGAAAAGAAAATTCAAGGGTCCAGGAAAACTGCAACATTGAATTCTATGTTCGACACTACAGTATTCTGCACATAGGCCTACAAGATACCAACAAACCAAAGAGACTTGAACCATGACATGATTGAAGTTTACATTGTGGATTTATTCATTCAAATGGTACGGTATAAAATTCTATATTTTGCATATATAGTAGAAAAATGTAAACAAATCTTTCCAACATTCTGAGGAGCTCCCCTGCATAAACTCTTATTTTGCTTCTTAATATGTTAAACCTAATACTTCGATACACTTTAATAAAAAGTGCATATGCTATCGCTATGGAATGAATCAAAGTTTCAACTAGAAGAAATAACTTTTTTGAAAAGAGGTAATTTTATAACCCAATCTGGAATGAATCGGGATAATTTGTATACATAAGGGGTGCCTCTGCTTCGATACACTTAAATAAAAAATGCATATGCTATCGCTATGGAATGAATCAAAGTTTTAACATAGTTGTAGAAGAAATAACTTTTTTGAAAAGAGGGAATTTTATAACCCTATCTGGGATGAATCGGGATAATTTGTATACATAAGGGATGCCTCTGCTTCACAAAACCAGTTTTCGTCTTCAGGGATTTGAAACTCTCAACGGGATATTTCAGCTTACATCGGGAAAGAAACTGATTATGATCTCCCTTTCTCCCTAAGCCTAACAGGTCTAAGTAAAGAAAAAAATAATGTCATACTGTTCCAATATCACCCTTCTATTCACGCTTCTCAAACAGTATATACATTATCAGGTAGGAAGCAGGGAAATTCTTGTGGTCGAAAAATGGTTCCCGAGATTCAGGGATTTTTACGCCGGTGTGGGAAATTCCGTGTTGTGGAGAAAACACTGGCAACAATGCTAGTGGTGACTGGTTGTCAGTTTGAGTTGTCGGTTGGCGCCGTTTGGGCACGCTAGTGTTGGTGCGCGGGTGTTGTGTCGTGGGTTTTGTTGTTGCTTTGTTTGTTTTTCTTGGATACATTTAACCACACATGTGATAAGGTAGGCACTGAGTTTGTTTAGTTACTGATAAAGTCAACACTTTGAAAAAGTATTACGATTTATTTATTGTGAAAAGGTTGCTGTTGAAGAATGCACGAGAATTGAGCATTGTTGGGAATTTTAGAACTTGTTTTCAGTACTTCAACTTTAAAAAAAGTCATGGGTTTATGCACAATTGTTATATACATTTATTAAATATGCATTCCCATCTCAATAATTGATTCCCGTTATTTTTCTGCAATATCAAAAGGTTATTTTATTTTTACAATTATTATCCTGCATAACTTATTTATGTCTAACGTTAAACAAAGTTTCGTCCTGGTAGAAATTCACAAAACCCCCTTTTTCATTAATAACTTCCACAGTTGTGTGATGATAATGAACCGGATCCAACTGCAACAATACAAATGTAATTTGGTTTTACACATTTTTTTTATTTCAACAAATACGTACTGACGATGTGATGTAAAAGCTTAATGACAATTCTAGCAACCTGTAAGCACACGATTTGATATAAAACTATGCATTTACCATAAGAAGATTAAATTTGTACGTACCCTAATTTTTAACTCGTACAGATAAATTGCTTAGAAATATGTGTGAACTGTTCAAAATCGTTTAATTGGTTTATAAATCCAACTCATGCAACCAATTCCAAAAATGACAATGAATTCTCAATTGAAGTTCATTGCTCTTTGAGTTCCATTTGTGTTCATAATTTTGTTGGAATTGCGGAAGTCCGCAAATTTATGTTCAAATGAGATGCAGAATGTCGGATCCGGCGTGAACTAATAACCATTGTTGTAATACTTTTCATGTTGTGACCGCTATTTTATGTTTCTTAGAAAAAAATTAAAGGACCAAAAACTAAAAATTAATTAAGGACCAACTCAACCATGTAATTAAAAATGATGGCGAGTGATTGGAGATGTTTTAATCATAGGTCATGATGAGGATGAGGAAATATGAATTAATACTATTCCTTTTTGTAAGCGGTAGTCGGTAGATAAAAAATATTTTAATCTGGTGCTTTTTACTCTATAAGAGCCAATTAATGTCGGTCCAATTTTGATAACATTTCATTCAGAGCTGCTTGCTGAGGTGGCTGAGCCTTCGGGTTTTAGCTCAATTTTTGTTTGAAGCAACTATGGCAAGACAGCAATATAGTTTTAATAGCCGCGAGCTTCGGGGCTGAGGCGACCACTGGTGGATTGAAATTAATAAATCCAGAGACCAAGATATTTAGCGACCTGAAAGATTTTTATTTTGATAATCGTTCGGCAGCAAATGTTTGAGCTGTAATTTTTTCAGCTCAATATAGTTCACCTAAACGCTTTTAATCAAAATTCCCTTTTAACAAAGTTCAAGAACACGTCTCCATGTCCATCCTTCATACTTGAACTTGTCCAACGCACTAAATATTTTTCCCAGCTACAGTTTGTTTGGTGTAATCGTAAAGTGATGACTTACCCTACTCCTACACCGGGATCCGTTATTTTTTACAAAACAGAAAACAGCGCTACAAAGAACACAACTAGGAAAGTAAAGTATGCACTACGACTACCCCGTACTACACGAATGCAGACGGCATTTAGTACGCGATTGATCCTCCTCCAGGTTTCTGGTAAAAAATACTCAGCGGTAAATCTCTCTCTTCCGATTCCACAGAACTCGTTGGCCGACTTTTCACGCAAGTGAAATCACTTGATTGCCGATCAATTAGGGTCGTTCTTGTCCATTGCGCCCAGAAGTCTTCTCGAGGACCAGGGGTCTGGTGGGAGGACAGGAGTACGACCGTGTAAAAACAGTCGCTGAGGAACTGGTCGAACAGGCTAACGGAACTGCAACCGTTACTGAGCTGCTCTCTAGCTGTCGGTGTCGCAAGCTCTGGGTATCCTACCGTAGTATGGAACTGTGTGGTGATACACATGATTGGGTACAGACACAGACTATAGATGTCTAATTTACTTTAGCTCTAGCTGTAGCCAGCTCTGGGCTCTAGGCTTTCTACCATAGAGTATGGAACTGTGTGGTAATACACGTGATTGGATATAGGTCTCAGTTACTTAGCGTTAGCTGTAGCCAGCTCTATGCATACTACCATAGAATATGGAAATGTGTAGTGATACACATGATTGGGTATATGTCTCAGTTACTTAGCTCTATAGCTGTCGCCAACTCTATGCATACTACCATAGAGTATGGAAATGTCTAGTGATACACATGATTGGGTATGTCTCCGTTACGTAGCCTTTAGCCACTGGGCTCTCTACCATGGAGTAAGGAGCTGAGTATGGTCCATGGAGTATCTGTGGAACTTGTTGGCCAATGCTCGTGCCAGGGTTGCGACAGGATCTGCTATCATGGCCGCTGTGTCGCTCCAATGCCAAGACTTTCACACCTCAAACACGCTCTTTGATCGGGTGAATATAACCTGTACAACGACTTGGAGAACGACAGGTAAACTTAAGTACGCTGCAAATTCAAGAGTGATGTCCTATTTTTTCATTCAGAGTGTTCAGGTTAAGAATTGCCTTTTTGAAGTTTAGTGAATTATGTCAAGTGACTCGTGTGCTAGTATCAGTGGCTTATAATTGGGTAGCTGTGAGTGGTTTTTGTTTTTGCCTTTTGATCAGATTGCCGCTGGGTTTCCCCTAATAAAAGTCTTGAGCATAACGAAGATTTGAAACTTGACTCTGCTCTCCACAACAATCGTGATATTGGCCCAGGATAAAATGTACCTAGGATAATCTTAGTCAGTAACAAATCGGCACAATAATTGGACTCACTCAATTCTACACCCATTCTAAAACAGTTGAAAAGTTGTTGGTTGTGTTAAATTTTAAACCAATTTACATCAATCTGTATAACGAAGACGTTGTTTCGCCATGTACCCTACGTTATATTATGTGTCCATCGATTCGCCATGATAACCTTACTCCTCCATATAGACAATGCGATGCGGAATATATTATACAATACAATATACAACATGCATAACAAGCCAATTATCTGCATGGTCGGTTCCACAGGAAATTGAACTGCTTTGTCACTTACGCCCACGGACCGACGCGCCGCCGCGGGAAACATCACTATCTGGCGGGAAATTGCACGCGTTGGTATAAACATACTAAACGCAAAGATTCCTTGACTGGTGGAAAATTAATCTTAGGAACTGTCTTTGTGAAATGCCATGTTGAGGTTACCCTTCGCGAAATACAGAGTGTGATTTTCGTTGCACAGAGAACTCGCCCGATTTGAAGAATCTTGATGTTTTCACTGTCTCGAAAACGATCGATTCAATATTGTCAACAAAATGGCTCCGTCTACTATTGACTATGCATAGTGTAAGTAGACTTTGCATCATTGTAAAATCCGGAGTCTGTTTTGATTTGTGTTTAATCTCTGTGACGTTTGAGTGCGCTGATGTCAACTGAATGTTACTTTTTTTAAAGAGTAGTTTAACACCTAAAGTCTAGTTTTATTAGCAAACGTCAAGGTTTTGGTTACGTTCAGTTTAGATAGCTTTTGAAGACACTAATAGCATGGTATTACGTCAATACGAATATAAACAACAAAACTTACCGGACAGAACTAACCTTAAAAAGGTCCATACATGAATGATGTTCAATCTATAGCCTCAGTTAATAATATACAGCGATATTGTCTGGTTCGATCCTCTGTGTACCTTTGCAAAAATGTTTAGGGGTTTAAGAACACTTTTGTTGCTGTGAGTCTCAAAAGATTTCTTCCTTGATATTTAAAATATCATACAGTAACTTTGGATTTGGATATAGGCTATCATATAGTTTCACTGTATTCTACCAATGATCATTTAACCTTTCCTATATGCAAATTTAATTAGTCTTATGTTTGCTATCAGCCGCTGGGCTGTCAAGATCGTGATTGCCCTGTGCTACTTAACCAATTATTACTAAACTTCTCTTGTATCATGCAAATTAATCCATTACAGAAGTCATTACCTTTACAGCTACGCATACTATGTAGACCTGGAAATAATGCTGGGTGAGTCCTCCCCAGTCCCCAAACGTCACTAAACTGCTTAAAAATAGTAAATTTTCCGAGGGAGGACCCCCAGACCCTCTTCTACAGTGATGACACCATAGTAACTGTGGTCCAACCCCGTTAGTTAGTCCTAGTACCTCCACTGGTTTACTTTAGACAGACTGCGTCTAAAAGTCCTATAAAGGCCAATAATTGCTGGATCCACTTTTGAACCTAAAGCTACAGACGTCTTAAGGCATTACGTTTTCAATGTGCCCGGTTTATTTTCGTTGACGGGTTTATCTATGCTGTGCTAGATAGGCAACATTTACACTCTCTAACAGTCCGAAATATATCAGAACATGCCTTATCTTCTTAAGTAAAATGTTTCTTTAACTTGTTTATTTTCTTGCTGTCGTTTTTAGTGTTCTTGCACTTTTAGTGTTCTTTGCACTTAATCTGTTCCCTGTAGAGGACCTCTCACACATAGAATACTTTTGTAATGTAGTATCAAAACATACGAGTGTTTGTAATCTACAAGCCCTGAAGAAGGCCGACTGTATGTGGCCGAAACGTCTGTAGTTTCTGTACATTGTGTGCTTAGCAAAATGACGTGGTCGAACACCGAAGACCAAGATTGTGTAATATTAGTGACGACCGTGGAAGACTATCCATGAATAACAAAAGAAATTATGGGCTAATTGTCATCTTGCCACCCAGTTTATGAGAATACTTCTATTGCATAATTAAATACGCAAGTTCAAACGGTAAATCGTTGGTGCAGTAAACTACAATGAGTACACAATATCATATTGTTAATATGATAACACAAACCAGGCAAGATCACTTTTCTTCAACGACTTAAAAATCTTGCACTATATGCAAATTAATAATAAAATACCCTGTTATGGATAAAGGTTAAAATAGTATGACTATTTTTCTCATAACAATGGCGTGTAAGGAATTAAGTGTTTTCAATTCAATCTATTTCATTTTTTAAATTTTATTTATAGCATTTATTTGTATTTTTTCATTCTATTTTAATTGTAGCTCAGTTGTACTTTTTGAACCAGAACAAAGGCCTGACTCAACATTAAAGTTATCATAGTAATGGATAGTTTGTTGATAGTTGTTTATCAAGTTATAACTGTTTGAACAACATTTCCTTGTTCCGTGTAACTGTTATTTCGATAGTAACCGCTGCTTGTGACTGATATTGGTAGCTTTGACAGCGATAAAAAAATAACCTACTGTAGTAATAGTCCAAAATATCAGTTAACAGTATCAGAATCCTTATGACAAAAAGATATATCGCATGTTTTCTTCTCTTTGGAGGCACACACTTTTTGATTGAATAATGTCTAACAATAGGATGACGCTATTTTAGACAATAGAATGCAAAAAATATATACAGTTTATTTTCGGAACGTTGAAAATAGCCTTATTCTTGAAACAAAGGCTCCGGAATAACTGAGGCAGTGGTATAAAGCTATTGAAAGCCTTGGCAAATTATAAGTCTTATAAGTACAGAGAATAAGTTAAAAAGTTATTACAGTAAACATATACGACGAATATGTATATTGTCATTAATGGTCATCTACCTAGTTACAATACCTATTATATTTAATAGCAGAATTTCCAATACTACTGTGCAAACTTCTTATGTTGAACGGCAAGCCCGTAATTAGGATGCCAGAAAAAGGAAAATACAGGCGACCAACATAAAACGCTTCACTCATCCTACGTCCACTTTCATTCATTGGCTTAAAATACCTACATTCGTATGGTCGCCATTTCATAATAAAATATTAAAGTAAAAGTACTGTACAGCATTCTTATTTCTATTCTTGGACAGACCCCGCAAAATATGTCAATCTATTTGCTAACAAGGATCTGAAGACTCTTCTGAGAAATCCATAAGCCGCACACACCTATCAACCGCAAACTTGAACTGGTTTTGATGTAAAACTTCCCCGAAAAAATATCAGTTTTACAGTAAGCCCTCCTTCCTAAAGGTCTGTATGTAATAACTTTTAAAATATTGAAGATACATCAGCTGTTAGATTTGTTTTGTTTTAGTTTGTTCGTTTACTTTAACCTGTTGATTCTGGCATAGATTTCTATTGCATCAAGAGAAGTGACTGTACGTTTTTCTTACAATGTGAAATATTGTTCAAACCTTTAATACGTAAGTTCTAAACCTTCTATGCTGTTCTAAAGTCGAGATTCCTTTCAACTCCCGGTACATAAACACTACATAGTTTGAACCGCTTTACCTAAAAGCGTTATTTGAGTACATTGTGCCTCTCCTGTAAAAATACATAAGTGTCCAGATAAAAACCACATAAATCGTTAAAATTTAATTCATTTTTACACTTCAGTTGGTACATTTTTACTGTCCAGTATCTGTAAGAACGAGCTTGGGCGTTGAAGACCATACGAGTCGGGACTATTGTAATTTTTGGGAAATAGAATAACCCTATGTGTTAGCTAGATATGCAGAGTATGGTAGGTATATTAATTACATTAGAACTTCTGTCTGCCAAGGACCGGGCTCAAATCCTTCCAGTCGCCAATAACAATTAGATATTTGGTATTGCCGTGACCTGATCTTTCCCTATAGGAGTGGGTTTTTGCCTTCAACTTGGCTTTTTATGTCCCTGTGGTAGGTAGGGTGGTTCGTTGGAAATCGACCTACTATTAAACTTGGATTAATCCACACTGTAACACCACATACGATGTTTTTTTGGCTTCTTATCTATTTGGATCATCTGTTGCCACTTTTTATGCAAACCAGTATTCTAAGTGAACATAGATCCAGTTGGGTGTGACAGGTTCAATATAATTTTCTCTTGCTTACCCTGTAGGTGGCTGAGTTATTTTTCAATTATACAACTGCTAAAACTTTAACTGGGGAATGCTTTGCATGCACTTCTATCCTGAATATCCCTTCTTAAGGTTATGTTAATTAGGTTCTTGAGACTTGAACATCGCATCAAATACTAAAGGATTTCGCAATCGTGCAATTTCATGGCTGCTACATAAGGATTCAGACTAGATCATGTGACCTTCGCATACTCACATGCTGAGGAAGCCATCCAGGTGTATTGATTGGTTACAAAGAATAACTACAGGTTTCATTCACCTTGTTTTGCTAGGCTTCATTGTTCAGTTGTGATTGCAAATTTTAACTCGCATTGACTTTGAACAAGTAAAATACCCCCGCCGCAGCAAACCTGCAGACTAAGCGAATTTCCATTTGACTGATTGGATTTACACTGAAATGTCTACTTAAAAATATAACATTTATTCCCGATTTAAATAGAATTAGTTTAACAAGTACTTAGGTTTGCTGCATCAGGGAGGGTAAAATTGTTTTTTTTTTGAAAATGTTAATAGTTAGTAAGAAATAAAAACATTTTCCAAATTTGATCAAAATATGTTCATAAACAAGCAAACTACAACAGTTTACTTATTCTCCATAAGAATAACATGGGAATTTTAAATTTACAATTTTTTTGAATTTTCTCCGTAACCGTTAGGCGCATAATAACGCTTCAATATACTAAATTATTTGTTTTTTTAAGCTCTACAAAATGGTTTGGAAATAAATTGCAAAATTTTAAGTTTTTTGGGTCAAAAATGAGAAAAACCTATTTTTACCCCATAAAACCCCCCGTAAACACCCGTTCCCATGGTCCGATCATGCTGGATCGCGAACTCGTTCAAATAAACGTAGGTTTACACGTTTGTACCAAATTTCATCAAAATCGGATCATTTTTGCTTGAGTTATCGTGCTGACGGACACATATATATATATATATAAATATATAAATATATATATATATATATATATATATATGAATTTGAACGGATGGTGTTTTTGGCCTCTAGGGACCTCAAAACGAAAAAAAAATCGGTCCCGCGTCCAGGTCTTACCATGAGTACTACGGTAATAGCTTATTCCCTACATGGGAAATTCGCTAAAACAAAAAATAAAACTGCTCACTTTCATTCTATTGCAGCAACATTGACTTTACTTTTGTGTTACACTACCATTGGATAATCAACAGTCTATGAAAAAATCGTTCTATTCGGCCCAGTTGTTTGAAAATTTGTAAAATAGCTAGACAAATTGTAAAAAACAAAACGTTGATCGGCGTGAGCATTTTTCACATGTAAAATTAGCTTTATTATTATCGTAGGCTATGATCCATGGCGAACTGCTTCAGGTCAGGTTTTTTGCACTTAACACGCCCTTGAATTCCTGCTTTTTGGAATCTGATAACGCATGAGTTCTCCAGTTGAAGTTTGCAATAAAATGCTGACTGAGAAAATGTGAATCTCTGTAATTGTAACTTTAGTGTACCGGTAACTAAGTTTCCAAAAATCATCGCCCCTTAGATCACCAACCCAGCATTCTTCAGCTGTATCCCATTCCGATTCGTAGGCGACCTTCAACCTCAAATCCTCTCGCCTGGAAGCGTGTCACATTCTACTATGTTGACCATCCTTTACCTTGCGTCTTCAACCTTTCAAGTCTGTCCAAGCGCTGTCATCCATCGCCGAACATATTTTATACCTTCAAGGACTGTTACATTCCGATATGTAGACGACCCTCAGTCTCAAGTCCTGTAGCTTCCAGGTGGGTTACATTCAGCTATGTTGACCATTCTCTGCCTTATGACTTCAACCTTTGAAGTCTGTCGAATTCGGCTGTCATTCATCCTCGGACAAAACCTTCAAGGACTGTTACTACATTGTGCTTTGTACTTACTCTGATATGTTGACTATACTTGAGCTCAAGTACCTCTACCTTCCAGATCTGTCCAATTCTGCTGTCTAATTACGCTTGGTTGGATATCTTTAACATAAAATCATCCAAGACCAACAAATCCTGCTTATACGACTATCTCCAACCTCAGGTCCTCTGCTCTTCAGGTCTCACTTTCCCCTCTACGTTGACTATATTTTGAGCTCAAGTACTTTACCTTTCGGATCTGTCAAATTCTGCTATATCAACCATCTTCGACGCAAATCTTCCACCTTCAAGGTCTGTCAAATTCAGCTTAGTTGAATATTTTAACCGCCAGCCTTTATACCTTCCAAATCCAACAAATTCTGCTTATATGACTGCCTCAAACCACAAGATCTCTACTCAAGGGCTATCACAACCCGCTTTGCTGACTATTCTCAAACTCATGTTCCAGGAGATGTCGCTGGAGCCAGAGGCGCACCATTGGCTGCCCGCCTACGGCTTCCAGCAGCCCCAGGATTTGCAGGAGGCGCTGGAAAGGAACATGGAACTTTTCTCTACCGGTGAGTGAATCTGGAGACTATTTTACAATTTATAACGTAAAACTTTGATCTTGTGGTAGTGTAGACTTGATGTTGTTCTTGTTTTGTGCTACCTTTGACTATTGATTTTGTAGACATGCCATTCTCATGTAATAGCTGTTGCCAGTTATAGAATCAAAATGAACGTAGTTAAATTCAATTGAAATGCCAGAGTTTGCTGATGTAAACGAACGATTTATGTAGATTACGCGACCTTAAGATTTAAATAGGATTATTGTAACCTCTTGAATCTCTGATGATCTCTAAGATATAACTTAAGAGTGTTCGCTCTTTAATATTGGGAAACAATAATAAGCCAGATAGTGGGGTGGGTTAGCTGAAAAATATTTCACATCTGGCAACCAACGCGCCCCTTTGGATTCAGATAGTACATGCGTAGACCAGTCCAAAAAGTCCGGGACACAAATTTTTCGGGCACTCTATGGGTGTTGATGACGTAATCAAAATGGCCGCCAAAGTTGTGTGACATGATTCTACATTTCCCTATATAACTCGGGTTCATATTCTAATAATGCCCTACATTTTTAGTGATTATTAATCACGAAAAAATTACCTTTCCGATGATGTACTTTACTTCATTGTTTAGATTCATAATACTACGAATATTTATAGTTTTATTAAATATTTTGTTTTTTATTTAGATATTTTAAAATCATTTTGCTAAGTGTCGTGGATTCCGTTACACGTAGCTGAAAACGTCTTGCATACACTTGTTTGTCAGAATATTACCTTTCTAACGGTATATATAACTTATGTTTTAATATAAAAACACTGCTTGAAATTTGCCACAATAATGTAGTGGTACACAGTGAGTCGTTATGACAACAATGCAATGTCTATGGGTACCGAAAAGTAATAGTGCTATTTAGGGCTATTAAATTTTTAATTTCGTTTTAAAATTAGAGACAATAAAATTAAGTAGAATAATTTAATTCCCCCTGCTGCAGCAAACCTACCGACTAAGCGAATTTCCATTTGTCTGAATTCATTTTCAATTAAATATATTTTAATAGCATTAGCTTTAACGAGTACCTATGTTTGCTGCTACAAGGAAACTAATTAAGTGTGTTTTTTAGTAAAATATTGATAGCTTAGTATAAAATACCCCCGCCGCAGCAAACCTGCCGACTAAGCGAATTTCCATTTGTCTGAATTGATTTTCAGTTAAATATATTTTAATAACTTTAGGTTTAACAAGTACCTAGGTTTGCTGCTACAAGGAAACTAATAAAGTGTGTTTTTGAGTAAAATATTGATAGCTTAGTACAAAATAAATAAATTTGCCAAGTTTGATCAAAATATATTCATAAACAAGCAAACTACAACATTTGACAATATTCTCCATAAGAATAACATAGGAATTTTAAATTTACAATTTTTTAAATTTTCTCCATTACCAATAACCGAACAAAAACACTTTCATATACTAAATTAATTGTTTTTTAAGCTCTTTTAATAGGTTTAAAGAGAAATTGGGATATTTTGCGTTTTGAGGGTCAAAAGAGAGAAAAAACAATTTTTACCCCGCAAAACCCCCCGTAAAGCCCCGTTCCCATGGTCCGATTATGCTGGTTATGCTGGAACTCATTCAAGTTAAACCCGCTTTACACCTTTAAACCAAATGTTTATTAAAATCGGACAAAAATTACTCAAGTTATCGCGTTCACGGACGTATATATATATTCAGGGTGTCCCACGAAGGGTTTAAACGTTTGATTTTAGATTACTTGCCCATTTATGCTCCGAACATTTTGAAACTTTACACAATCTATAAAGTACATTTTAAAAATATTGTGAGAAAGTTTCAGCTCCCTACCTCTTGTAAAAACAAAATCGGAGCATATTGAGAAATGATGTTTTAAACACATTAAAAATAGTGTTTTTGGTTTTGTATTGTATTAACGCATTCTATGGAAATAAGGCTTTTTCATCAGGAAATTATACCATAGCCTAGTGAAAACCCTAAAGTAGAGTCCAAATTTATTGTAACTGTTATCCATCACTAGTTAAAAATTAATAATAAATTGATTTATATAATATAATCTATATAAGATAAATAAAATTAGAGTTTTGTCTGTACATTGCTCAGAATTATATACGTTTAGGTTATTTTTACGTTTTATACATTAAAGAAGCAGAAACGAGTCTTATCTCAATTTCTGTCTGTCTGTCTGTCTGTCCCTTTGTCTGTAACACTCAAGATGGCATTTTACGCAATCTTCTCCGTGAAAACCAGAGTACATATCAAGATCCAAGCCATTTTAATGTATTCACTGGATTGGCGAGAGTGTCTTTAGTGATTTAAATATAGCCTCACTACTTTGTAAATAAAATTACGGACGTTCAAAAATGCAGTTTTGTGCGATTTTTGTCAAATTTCCGTTCAATTTTTATCACATAATCGTCTATGAAATAACGAACAGCTGTTCGGATCAAGATTATTTTTTCTAGCTGTCAATGACATGTTTACAAATGTTGTTTACAAATACCGCAACTATTTCGAATCACGTTTTGAAAGCAAATCCCAACCAAGTGAGATTAAAAACGTTTTTCTTACATAACGGATTTAATTAATCGCAAGTGCAATAATATAGTCTAATAGTGTAACCGTAAATGAAATTAAATAACTAGACATCGTCCAAATCGGAACCAGAAATTCTTTGAGTATAAAATGTTTCTTGAGTTTTGACAACCAGAAAGAAGAAGACCTTGAATCAGTGTTGTATAGGGCTGTGACACTGAAATGATCGTCGCCAATAGCTTACAAAAAAGGTTTCCACTCATTGACGGCGCTTCAATGGCGGTTGTGTAAAGTTTAAAGTAAAAAAATCACAACTGCAGTGGGTGATTGTAACTGAGGTTTAACAGAGGAAGTGCTAAACTCGCTTTTCCAATGTGTCACTTTCTGTTTCTACTCGCCGTGTGATGCAATCGCTGGACCATACAGCCAATAGGCCCATAGCTCATATCTTGGGTACGTAAGCCTACATATTTATTCATAACAACCTTTTTGACGACGATCCTTGATACCGGTACTTTTCCATAGAATACATGGCCTACCTACTTAAAAAATAAAATTACAAATGACCAAAACCCCAACATTGTGTGATTTTCGTCACATTTCCTTCTAATGTTAATAGATATACTAATCATTGTTTAGAGAATGCGTAATCTATTAAATAACAAAAAGTTGTTTGGGTAAGGTTGCTTTTTTTCAAACTGACACCGATAAGTTTACGCTATAACTTTTTACGAGAAAATCCAAAAGCAAGAGATCAATAACCTCGGGACTAGATATTAATGTATTTAATTGGTCCAATTTACTATAGTTCTTAGGTAGGTTCTTACGTAGGTACTGGTTCTTTTCCTTAGAACCGGTAGTTTACAAATTTGATATCGTTGGTGTTGCACCTTATTTATTAGAGCCGCCCGTATTCAATTTAAGTGATTTCTTAACTCTGTATAGTTTTGCTTTTTCTGTCTGGATTCCAAATCTTAGCTTACCCGGTATGCTAAGAAAATGATAACCTATTTGAGTAAAACATTTGTTGGGCAAACCATCATGAATTGTTTACGCCTTTATATTGTTTATGTATCAATAGTTCGTGGCCTTTGTTGGATTGTTGTATTGTGTTGTTTTGTTGTATGTTGGTAACGCATTAATGTCCTTATTTCTCAGTGTTTCACGGAATGGACAAGAGCACCTTTGATACTGAAAATGTCAACCGGAATAAAGAGTTAAATGGTGAGGTTGAGGTAGTACTTTAAATACGTTTAAGTTAACCGATGTGGAAAGTAACTTTCAATTATAGGCCTACTTTAGGGCTACGCTTCATGGATCTATAAAACATTTTTTAGTTTAATCATTGGACTTATGGACCAACACGATCCGGGTGACATTTAATTGCGAAGCATTTATTTTGGCTTACTGTCAGATACTGTATTTGCGAAGGTTTATATATAATAGTTTTGCCAGCATATCTGCAAATGTGCAAACTAATTGCTGTTCTTAATCTTAATATAAGAAGATTTCAACTGACTACTATAAGATCCCCGTGCGTAGAACGGGCACACAGCTAGTTAGTTAATAAAAACATTCAATACGCCACAATTTTGTTTCTACAAGGGATAGGGAGATAGATCTTTCACAGACATTTTTAAACCTTCTGTACTTTATAAATTGTGTAAAGTTTCAAAATGTTCGGCCCATGAATGGGTAAGAAATATAAAATCAAACGGTTAAACCTCTTCGTGGGACACTCTGTATATATATAATTTGAACGAATGGGTTTTTTGGCCTCTAGGAAAATCAAAATGAAAAAGTAAATTGGTCCCGGGTCTAGGTCTTACCGTGCCACCTACGGTAATAGCTACTTCCCTATAGGGAAATTCGCTAAAACAAAAGAGTGTACTCTATACAATATTGTTTAAATTTTATATCAAAATTCATAAATATCATATACATCAAAAATATAATCCAGGCTTAAATCAAACAGATTAACCCTTAGTGCCCATTGACCAAATCTGTGGGCACAGTATTATAAAACATCAATATCTGTATAAATATAAATTATGTTATACAGTATATAAAATATATCTAACCCATAGATGGGGTTTTAGGAACAAATTGAGTAATTTTTGTCCGATTTTAATAAACATTTGGTTTAAAGGTGTAAAGCGGGTTTAACTTGAATGAGTTCCAGCATAACCAGCATTAACGGACCATGGGAACGAGGCTTTTTTGTTCGGTTATTGGCAATGGAGAAAATTTAAAAATTGTAAATTTAAAATTCATATGTTATTCTTATGGAGAATATTATAAAATGTTGTAGTTTGCTTGTTTGTCGATATATTTTGATCAAACTTGGCAAATTTATTTATTTTACACTAAGCTATCAATGTTTTACTAAAAAAACACACTTAATTAGTTTCCTTGTAGCAACAAACCTAGGTACTCGTTA